CCTTGTGCAAGTATGTCTTTAATATACATTTATTTATTTATTATTTATTTATTTTTTTTTTTTTGTAATAAAAATTTTTTAATAATAAAATTTATTTGATTTTCTAGTAAACATGGTTGTGATTATAAAGGTTACGGATTTGCATGCAAACTTCCACGATTGGACTTGAAAGATTTCATTAATGAGACCATTGAGGAGCGTGAACGACCAGTCTTGCAACTTTGTACGTATTAGTCACTTACTAATGATGATTATGTTTGGTGTTTAATATAATTGTAACAATCACTGACTAAAATATTATTTAATTAGTTTGCACAATATGCCAAAAACAAGACTCTTTCGTTAATAATGTACTTGTTCGATGTGAAGGTTGTCCTAAAGCATTTCATCAAAAATGCTATACGTCTTGCATTGACGATGAAACTGTAAAAGGTACCGAAGCTTGGTATTGTGAAAAAGGTTGCCAGGAAAACTTGCGAAGAAAACGAATAGGTAGGTTTTGTTTATTATTATGTTTTCTTTAAAAAAAAGTTATTAATTTTTTTAACTTTATTTTTTGTCGATTATAGTTGTTGAACTTCCCCGTAAAAGATTGCCTCTCATGTCTACTCCGAAAGTCCAAGCATCTACGTCGATCACAGATTCAACTTCTGTACTCAATTCTGGTACTGCATCACGTCCTCGAACTTCTCGTAACTCAACAAGAACGTAAATATTGGACTTTATGGTAGATTAAGATAACTAAACTATGTTGAATACTCTATGGTAAAAATTTATCTTTGGGATTCATTTTATGCGGGATACGGTTTACATCTCTTGAACAATCAGCACGAATATCTCTTTTTTTTTCCTTTTTTACACAAGAATAATTACAAGATCGAACAATTGTCCTTGCTCTAGTAGCAGGTGTTACCCCCGAAATGTCACATTTTTTTACGTCTAACTAGACTTGGAGTTTATACTATTTTCTTACTTTCATGTCTTGTAAGACGGTGTAATTTTACCCTTTTTTCCAAACACGTCTCTCGTGACGTCGTTTGTATATATTAATTTAGACAACGAACAATTTATAACTTATTAAAATATCGGTGGGTAGCAGCGAGTAACGGTATTGACTACCGTTTTGTAGTATTATATAGAACCGAACAATAATTATTATTAATAAGTGCTAGTTTTTTTTACTGGCACATCTAGTTAGATTTATTATTCTACCTTCCGTTTTCTTCTATTTATTTTCATGTATTATTAAAAAAAAAATTTTCCCCTACAGTGTGCGTTAATTTCATTAGACAAATTAAGCCACTTTAAAAAGGTTCTAGAATTTTTGGTAATAGCAAACAAGCACAAACAATTTTAGAATGTTACGCAATATAGATTTTATACAGATTATTATTATATAGATTTTTTTCTTTTTAAATCATGGAACTCTGTAAGCTTTTAAACCTCATTTCATTACACCTAAATTTAGCATTTAACGCATTTTTTTTTTAATTCACGCACCACTCTCAATTTCATCACCAACTCAAACATAC